GATAAAATATCGTGAAGTGCAGGGCACAATTTATAACTTTGAAAAAGAATGGGTACATCTTAGATTTTCAATAACCTGGGGGCATAGCTTAGAAAAACCCAAAAAAATAAGAAGGATCTCACCGGGCTTCCAAGCAATGCTAATAAAAATAAGGCAAAAGATCAACCACCTTCAATAATCTCCAAGAATCAATAGCATCATCATCATAGCTAAGTGAGAAGAAAAATTGAAAATAGAGCTATAATCAAAGAAAACGGTTAGTAACTTCAAAACAAAATAAAAGAAAGCAAAACTAAACAAAAAGAAACTACAAAGGAAAAATCAAGTTAAACTACCAAAAAGAAAGAATAAGCAAAGAAAACTAAAGGAACTATATACTAAATAATCAACTAATCACCTAAACTACAAGATTTGGATTTAAGGGATTTGGATTCAAGGGTTTTGGATATTAGGGCTTTGGATTCATGGGAGCAAATAACATGCATCATCATCATAGAAATCAACACAACAACAACATCATCAAGAGAGAAAGAATATACATGAAAAGCTCATAGAAACAACAATCAAACACCATCAATACGAGACCAAGGCATAAAATTATCAATCATCGAGGCAAAAAGTAGACATGCAATTCCCAACAACAATTTTGGCCACCGAGACAAACCCCTAAGAAAATTAAGTTCCCCCAAGCTAAACATGAATACATCTCTACATCCCAACAATACAAAGCAAGTATCACATAAAATAAGGGATGAAGGAAAAATGCACAAAATAGGGGAACTAGCTACCACTCAACCCAACACTATCATGGTCATCCCCGTCATAGAAAAACCTGGATAGGGGAACATAAGGACCCTATCTCCCGATGTAACCAGGTGGCCAACCAGAGTGCCCCTTGAAATTTTCTTGTTGCTAAGGGATTAGGGGAGAATATTGCTCGAGCAAAGCGAGCGGTAGTGAAGTGGATGATCGGGGTGGACATATGGGTAGTTAGAATCACCTTTATAATCGCTCGCACTGGGAACACGGTAATCGTAGTTACCTTGCTAATCGGGGAATGATCGAGTCTCAGTGTTGGACCCCGGGGGTCCTTGCCAATAAGGATGCCCACTTGATGGAATAGGACCAAGTTGGGGTGGAAAGTATGGGTAGTTAACCACAGGGGAGATCTCCCCACGGTTAACACTTAAATCATACAAATGTTGTTGTTGGAGAAACATACCTTGTTACATCACCAAAATTGCTCTCACTTGGTTATATATTGCCTCAAAATCTTAGTCGTACACGTATTCCAATTAAATTTGCATCCCCTTCATTTTCACACTTTGAGCATCCATACTGGTGTTAGCAAATTTGTGTTGTTGTTGCTCTTGATGTTGTTGTTGTTGAGGTTGTCGTTGTTGTTGTTGACGATGTTGTTGTTGTTGATCTTCCTCTTCATTTTATTCTTTTTATATTTCCTCATCATCATCATGGGGGAGGCGATTACTTAGGGGAACATGCCATACATTAGGCACATCCTCACGATGGATAGAAGTCAAAGAGGGGTTAGGGAGATAACACCAATGCTTGTTCTCCGTAAGCCAATCGAACACTTCATCATCATCATTCTTAGCCAAAAATTGCACTTGCTTCAATTGTGCAATGTCGAGGTAGAGGGTTCTCGGACTACCCACCAGAGTAAAAGAGGGCAAGTAGTGGCCAAGATGAAGGCTTGTCACGAGCCTCGTAACCAGGGTACCACAAGGGATCTCTCTAGACTCCCTAGATTGCAACCCCTTGCAATATCTCAAAAACATGAACCCTAATTTCAAACGACCTCGGTACTCCTCCCTAGTAGCCAACCAAAGAATCTGAAGCTCTTATTGACCCATTTTTCCCAATTCTTGCTTTGGGATTATCGAATATCCCATAAATCAATGAAGAACTCGTAGACATGGTTGGAATACTTTGCTTATTGTGGCATACCGAGTAACAAAGTCACCTTCCCACAAAATATCATCCCACTAAGAGTTTTGGTTATATTAATCATAGAAGAACTTGGGGTCCAAGACATCCGCCCCCGGACTAAGATCAAGTGCCACATTGAACTCAGCGAGAGAAAGATCACGGTGAATGTTATAAAGCTGAAAGCGGACCCGGTAGTTGTCACCTTTTATTGCCTCACATGAAACCGTAGCCAAAAACTCCAAAGTTGGCTCAAAGTAAGTACGGTATAATGTGTAAGGTTCTCATGCAAAGATTGCTGAAAAACTCCCTTAAATCTTCATCAATCCCCAATTTGATCATATCCGGTTAGAAGTAGCGACGAGAGGGCTTGAGGGAATGGTTCTTTTTGAGCTTATCATATCGATCATTTTGTATTGGGTCCTTGATTTTTGTTTGGGAATAGGAGTAGGTTTTTGTGGTTGGGAAGTAGATGGGTTTGAAGAAGTTTCTTCAATGGTGATGGTGGTTTTTGTTTTTTAGAGGAAAGGGCTTGAATAAACTTTGACATTGTGTTTCCTCCAAATTAACCAATTCAAAATCAAATTAATCAACTCCACAAACACCAGAATAACACCACAAAACATTTCCAAACACAAAAATCACAACTCCTTAATCAATAAAACCAATCAAATAGGTAACAACTCGCAACCACCACCATAAACATACAACAACACAAAGTGAGAAAAATACAATCAACAACCAACACAAATAATCAACCAAAAATCATATTCAATCATCAAAATCATCAAAACACATACTACTAATATTCACAACCATAAACTATCAAATTCTAGAAACAATATGATATAAAAATGTAAATAAGAGTTTAAGAAGATGATTATACCATACTAGAAGCAAGATTGAACATGAACTAGCTACAAATTCCTACCAAATCAAAAATCCCCAAATTTGGTCTTCAATGGAACAGAGAGATTAGAGGTTGCAAATTAAAGAAAGTAGTATGATTTTTGTTGTTTAGGATGAATTTGTAGAAGGAATTTGATGATTTTTTATGGACTTTTGATGATTTGATGATAAAAATTTGATGAATAAGGCTAGGGTTTTGTGTCTTTGAGTGAGAAGGTGAGAACCGTGCGCACAAGAATGAGGGTGAAGGGCAAATGAGGGAAAGAAAGGAGAAAGAAAGAAGAAAAGGGACTATGCCCAACCAGGTGTGCGGCCGCGCGACTTGGCTGCGCGCCCTCACCAATGTCGCGTGCGCCCGCGCCCTTACCTGTCGCGCCTTTGCCTGGCTTGGCTCCTTTTGAAATTTTAGCTCGGTTCGTTCTACTGTGGGTTCATTGTCCGATATCATCACCTGATTATTGAACCCACTAAATATGGTTGTTTTAAAACATGTTGACAGTGGGTTCATCATAAAAAATTAATGAGAGCACCACAATGAACCCACTAAGTTCAAATTTACTTCAATTTTAGCATAACTTTCTCTAACTTACCTTACTACATTACCTAACCCTTTTACCTCAAAATTCGATAAAATTGAACATATTCTCAACAAAAACATGAAACACCTTTCCGTTGCTCATACTCACTTAAAATAATCCAATTCTCACGAATTTGACCTATCAATCCAAATAGAAAACAGGTGAAATAAAAATAAAAACAAAAGAAAGAAAATTAAGAAATATAGAAATCAAAAGAAAACGGTTAGAAAACCGGGTTACCTCCCGGGAAGTGTTTGCTTAAGGTCCTTAACTCACCCTTCCTCTAAATCATGGAGGGTCAAAGAACTCCACCTTGTCCTAAGTGGTGGAGAGGGTAAAATCATTGCAAAGCTTGTGAAAAATCACATAATGAACCATGTCATCTTGAATCATAGAAACCGAATCAAACTTTTTAGGCTTCAACCTCCTCTTATATTTCTTGGAAACTCTCTTCTTCTTCCTTGATTTCTTCTTCCTTGGATCTTTGAGATCCACATGTTCACCACTTGAAAAACTATTTCCGTCATCCTTCAAAGAAAGCTTAAACCTAGAAGGTATCTCAAACTCATTCTCAAGCTTCGACGGATCCTTGTCTTCTTCACTAACATATCGTGAGTAGAAGACACAAACATGGAATCATTAACATTCGACAGAAATGAGTTTACATATTCACATAATTCCTTGCACAAAGGATAGAGACTCATGCATCGACTTGAGCTTAAAATTTTTCATGTTATTACCAACACACAAAGTAATCATGCACCTTTAACATCTATGAAAGCACAAAAAGTTTCTAAGAATGGCCTCCCTAGAATGATAAGTATTTTGTCATCTTCTGCAATCTCTAGCATAATGAAGTTAACGGGAATAGTGAAACTTGAGGGGCACATCCTCAATTCTACCCTTTGGGAACTTAGTAGTACAGTCGGCAATGTATATAGAACTTGAATTACCTCAGTAATAAATATCCCTATTATTAAATGAAAATAAGATGAGTGTTTTTTTGTAAAGTTATTAGTCATCTCATTTTTCTTGGCGAAAAATATGGAAAACATCGAATTTAGTTTGATTTGATTGCCTTACTAAAATGGTGTCATTAGTCAATGGCTATCAAATAATCCAAATCATTTGATTTTGGAAATTTTGTCAGAAAACACCTGTTAAAAACACTTTTTTGTCAAAAACCACCCGAAAAAAAATTTGTTGTCTAAGACCACCCAATTTTAAAAATTTGTTGTCAAACACCACAAGAGTCTATTTTCCGACTTTGACCTAGAACTCCGGCGTTGACCCTACCCACATGCCTTGCACGTGTCTTTTAAAGAACCCCTCCCTTCCCCCATCATCTCTCTCTTATTCCTTCTCTCTCCTCAAGAAAAATCCTTTTTAGGAATTTCCATATTCGCCGTCGTTGCAGCAAAAATCCACCTCAGGAGCTTAGTAATGGGTACACTTCTTATTTCTTTTCTCCCTCCTCCATTTTCGATGAATTTAAGCTTTTTTTAATGTCTTCAAACTGCTATTTTGATTCAATTAACCCCTTTTTTTGTGTGTGAAATTTTGCAGCAAGAATTAAACCACATGAGATGAGGCAAAAGCCTAAGGCTGAGTTGCTGTATCAGCTTAAGAATCTCAAGCTCGCTCTTCTCCGTGTTGCTAAGGTTACCAGCGGTGCTCCTAACAAGCTCTCAAAAATGTTATTTTTTGATTTCAATTTTAAATTGTTTTTAATTTTAGGGTTTATTGTATGATTTGAATGAATTAATTGGGTTTTGTTCTGGGGATTTTGCAGTAAGGTGGTGAGATTAGGGATTGTGCAAGTATTGACAGTAATGTCACAGAAGAAGAAGTTGACATTGAGGGAAGCTTACAAGAAGAAGTTTCTGCCACCTGATCTTCATCCTAGAAATAGAAAGAAGAGAGAGATAGAACAAAGAGAGGAGAGAGAAGGAAGAGGAGAGAGATAATGGAGGTAACTCTAAATTTTTCAAAGGGGAAAAAACGGGGAGGGACGGGTTCAAAAGTCACGTGCCTTGCATGTGGGGAGGGTCAACGCCAGAGTTTAGAGTCAATGCCTAAAAATAGACTCTTGTGGCATTTGACAACAAATTTTTAAAATTGGGTGGTCTAAGACAACAAATTTTTTTTCGGATGGTTTTTGACAAAAAAGTGTTTTTAACGTGTGGTTTCTGACAAAATTTCATTTGATTTTTTATATGATTTTGTAACCATAACTCAACTCTTCATGAATTTTATATATGGGCATGACTACTACATAGTAGGTCCATATGTGCAAAGGCCTAAGATTAGCCATATTTTTACGGAATGATGATTTTGGTATATGGTTATGGTCTACCTTAAGAAGGACCTTTCCAAGGTTGTAACGTGGCTAGGCTTAGGGTTATGAAGAATGGACAGGCTCAACTATACTCCCAAAATCCTTTACTTTTGGTGCTTATCAAATTAAAACCTTTTTTCTTTGTGTGACAACTTCCTACATTAGGTGCCTTTTCCTTGTCCCCTCTCTCTCTTTTTTTTTCTTTCTCTATTTTTTTGATAAGTTTTGTTTGGGATTAGAACGACTTTTTTCTTTCTTTCGCATTGTGTCTTTTGGTTTAGACTAACTTTATGTCCCCCTTTTATGTTTTGTTCCCCCAATTTCCTATTTATATCTCTTTGCACCATTCCCATCCCAAGGCAATGTAAGTTAAATAACTAAGGCTCAACTAACGAGGCTCAAAGGATTGTCAAAAGGATGGATTTTCTTTAAGGTTAAGAACATGAGATTATCTTTGTGGAGTTTCAAGTTGCCTCCTGTGGTTGTGAAATCATCATATCCTTTCTTTGTGGGCCAAAGATGGGCTTCTTTTCAATTGATAAATCTAGTAAGCCAAATTTCATTAAGATTCTTAAAGTGTTTTGTATGTATGCCATTTGATATTGCTTGTTTGTATGTAGACGTTTTATTTCATTTGAGTTAATAACAATAAAGAGACTGAAAGGTGAACAAGATAGACGTACTTGAAAAAATATATTTTTATTCATTAATTAATGAGAGTACAAAATAAGTAGATTAGACAATATGGTTCTCTTAGTCTATCATTAAAGAACAAAGGAAAGAAACAAAACAAGACCTAGGGTTCTACACCTTAAATTGTTGAAAACTCCTTGAGATTGCGTCTTCGAGCTTTGTCTGTTTCTGACGTAGGTGAAATTTTCTCTAAAAATCAATTCCATCTATATGATTCATGGTTTCATTTATCAAGTCCCTTTCAATTAATATTCCCACAGTATAGTCTTTTTGAAATATGTCTAAACCAAGGTATTGAAAATGGGACTTGTATGGTGGAGACTTATTGTCCATGAACTTTGGGACAAGTTCATGATCCGGAGGTCTTTGTGAAGCAAGAGCAATCTTTGATCGCCACCTGGAAAAGAATTCAATAAAGCCTTCATCTTCCCCTTGCTTAAGAAATTCGAGATCGCGCAAGGTAGTTGTGAGCTCGATGTTATCTCCATATTGGGTTAAAAACGCTTTTACAACGTCACTCCAAGTGGAAGTTTGTTTTGCATTGAGGTTATAAAACCATGATCTAGTTATTGGGTCCAATGAAAGAGGAAAAGTACATGCATATAGGCTTGGCTCAACCCCTTTCTATACCATAATTCCAATAAAGCTCATTAAGTGAGTCCTAGGATGCTCAGTAACCTTAAGGTTGGCAAATCCGTAGTCAAGAACTTTTCTGGGAGAGTCTTTCCACTAGATTGTGGTGTAATCTCATAATTGAAGAACTTATTCCCTGAGTTAGCTCGAAGGACAAGTTTCTCCAAGGCCTATACTCTTTCGGCTCTTGCTTTTTCTTGTAGAATGTTTTCTTTTTCTTTTTCTGCTTTTATTTTAGCCTTTTCTGCTTTTTTTTAGCCTTTATTTGGGCTTCTTCTTCTTGCTCTCTAACTAGAGATTATCCAAGTTAATTCTCGTTACAATCCATTGGCAACCTAGTGTTGGAAACCTTTAACTATAACTAAGAACTAATCTTGTAACATCTAAGTTCTCAGTAAAGTTGCCACTGTAAGGAGGGTGTTCCCATTGTAGGGGATCTTTTTGCTTAGATGCCCATGGCCCTTTAAAAGCCCAGGACTTTACAGTTGTTAGGGTGTATTAGGATTTGAATTCCTGACTTTTTGGGAGACCTCGAATTAGAAATGATACTCTCATCATGCTTTTTTATGTAACAAGTAGGAGTCGCCAATGAGTTTTAGGTAAACTCATAAACATCGTTCATGCCTTTCTCCTAAGTAGAGTTCAAGGGATAATTAGCACAAATCATAAGTTTAACCATGCCCAAATTGGTCTACATGTACCAGAAATGAGTTCAGAGCGAGGGTACTAAAATAACGTTCCTTTTAGGGAGGAATCGCTATTATGGCCCTTGTTACGACTTCTAATAGCTCTTCCTTTTTTACAATTTCATCACCAAACAATATATGCAACGCGATACCTAAAACTATGTTGGTTAATTTTATTTACACGCAATAATCATGAAGGAATTATATTGCAAAAATAATTATTCTTATTTATTTAATATTGGTGAAATGTACAAAATAAACAATATTTGCCTTGTCTTAAGTGATAAAACAAAAATTAATTATCAAATTCTAGTCTTGACTAACAAAAGAATACTATGTGAATTAATTAATTAGAAATTTATTTAAAGTAATCAAACAACACTACTTATTCAATTTAAGTTATTTAATCAATACAAGAAAAGTGATTTATCTAAGTGCTTAGGAAACTAACCGTTCTTCTTTTATGTTAGATCTCCGTTTAATGCGTCTATAGAATTTCTTTCTTCTTTGTACCTCCAAGGACTTCAATGGAGTCAATTAGGGTTAGAAAATATTTGGGAAGACAGAAGAAAAGTAATATGATAGTAACAGAACTTGAGAGATTAGGGTTTTGAGAATGCTAGGGTTTTAATTATGATTTTTTGGTCCTCGTAATGCTTAAAGAAGATCCCTATTTATAGGCGCAGGGATGTAGGTTTAGGATTTTAGAGCCCCATTGTTAGGTGGTGCACGCAACTCTCTGAGTTGCGCTAGGTACCGGGCGCATCTCAATGAGTCGCGCGCGTCAGGCGCGGGCAACTTACTGATTTGCGCTGGGATGCGGTTTACCTTATACGAAAACGCGTTTTAATAAATTCCATAACTTTTGATTAAAAGTCAAATTTAGGAGTGTGAGATATTATTGGGAAGCTCTGAATGTCTAATTTCCAATTCCATTGGAATTAGGTTAAAATATTTATGGATCAAAAGATATGGCCGTTGGAGTGCAAGGGTGTTGGTTTTAGGGCCCAGTTTAGTGTTTTGATCATTACTTCTTCGTTTTAGCTCGAAATTGGGCTTATAATATATCGTTGGAAAGATATTTGAAAGGGCTATCCATGTGTATAGACCATTCATGTTAGTATGATGGTTGGTATATCTATTTGACTCATTTTTCAACAATGTAAGATCCATTTGATCGAATCATTGCATTTGCTGCATTTGGGTCCGTTATTAATTCAGTTTAAACATGTATGAGCATGTTTTAGGCCTAATTAGTAATCGCACAAGGATCTATGATAACTTGGTCTCAAATACGGGTTTTAACTTACTTCATAATGCATTTCGTAGTCCATAAACACTTTAACTTTGATCTAGCATGAAGAACTGGTTTTTGTAACATCATCGTGTTCGAGAGATGATTCTCTCAGTATATTTTCTTGACACTTTGTTTGTTTGTATTACGCTTAGTAGGATTTGAGCTTATGAATGTTCATTTTATTGGAGCTTGATGTTCGTTTTCGGTCGTGGGACGATTTCGATTTTCCCGCATTGGCCATTCGGTATAGTGCCCAGTGTCGGTATATTCAGGGGACCTACGACTCTGTGGTATACCTGGGTGAGAGAGTTGCGATTCAACACTCTTTAGAGTCCCTTGTTGTTCCTTCTCGCCCTCCTCAGCATATGTTTGATTAAACGCAGCTGAGGGCTTAGGTGGCTAGGACGGCAGCGGATCCGGATTGGCGGAGTCATATCCATCTGAACCGTAGTTATGATGATAGAATTTTAACGCGTTTGGCCCCACCGCCTCGATTGCCAGGGTTGACAATCCTGATTACTCAAGTTTAACTTGATAGGCTTCGACTAGAGAGCTTGTGCCTCCCCCAGTATCTAACTTCTACTAGGGAAATTTTTATCATGTTGAGGAGATGATTCCCCTGGCTCTTGAGCCATGGCGTTTCATAGATGAGTCGATACCTCGACACCAGACTTCGGTAAGTCACTTTATTTGTTATCTCATTTGTGTACCTGCTTTGATTATTTCTTACTTTGTGACTTTGACAGCTCTCTCGTGAGGTGCTGACGAGGATGGCTGGAGGCATGGACGCCTTCCGTTACCAGCTCATGAGGTTGGGTCATCGAGCTATGTGTCATCGCGGTGATGATGACATAGAGGTATTTTTCATAACCTTCTCTCATGTTTATATTTGTCTTTTTATACTTGACTTAGTTTGCGTTTTCTTTTTCAGCCTATTCCTCCAACGCGTACTCGTACAAGGCCCGAGGCTAGGAGGGATAAATTGTGGTCTAACTCGAGGCATCACTGGACCTCGGCTGGGAGTTAGGGTGGTCGAGCAGAGTCGGACCGTACTACCAGACTAGAGGGTTTTAGCTCTTCGTATGAGGGTGCATTAGGGGGCTGACCAGCTAGGGAAGCACGACGTCAGCTCCTTTAGCAGGTGGTGGGATGTACGAGGTTGGCTCGTCGTCGTAGAAGCCACAGCAGCCTCAGCAGTCTTGGCATTTGGGAGTGCAGCAACAGGATGAGCCTGGATGGGCTGGACCTTCTCTCTCGATTTCAGCTCCTTCAGATCAGGTGTGGGCGAGGAGCATACTCGACGGACTATATAGTTTTTTGACATGTTTGATGTTCCTCTACATTTGCGGGGACCGCCATCATATATGTACCTGAACTTGTATTTATTTTGACTTTGTATGACTTTGCTTATTTGGCTAATCACTT